TTTAATGAGTTTTTTCCTGAGCTCGGGACTTAACCCCGTGCCTTAGTATACCTTATGATCGGGCAGATGCTCGATCAATATGACTTGCTCTAGTTCCTCAACCGTTGATTTGGTGGCATCAGAATTGTCGAGGGCTATGAAAGACCTGGGAACTCCGTAGTCGTTGACCTCACCCATCCCCTGCTTTTCTGGTTCGGTTAGGGCCGGTGTCGGTAATTTCTATTTGATCTCTTCCTTGGTGACCGAACTCGGATCCTTTGGTGTCGAAAGTGTGGATATTAGGATCACCTCGTCGACCGTGAACATCTCTTTTACGGCCAGTTGTTCTCCATAAATTGTTTTAATCCCTTCTGGCGTTGGGAATTTCAAAACCTGGTGTAGTGTCGAGGACTCTGCCCTCATATTGTGAATCCATGGCCTCCCGAACAGAGCAATTTTATCTCATATCTCGTTCGATCACGTAGAAGTTGTTTCATGTACGGTTTTGACGTTGTTCACTGGTAGTGTTATCTCCCCTTTAGTGGTCTCACATGCTATGTTGAATCCGTTTAGAACTTGACTGCAGGCACAATTTGGTCTTGTAGACCTAGCTGTTCTACGACCCTTGATCTGATGATATTGGCTGAGCTACTTGGATAAATTAATACACGCTTAACTCGAGATTTATTTTTGAGTACAGATATTACCAGTGCATCATTGTATGGTTGTACAATGCCTTCAGGATCCTCGTCGTTGAAAGATACGGTTCCTTCTTGCACGTTATCCCGAGTCCATTTTTCCCTTGTGATGGACACTTTGGTGCGTTTTAGCATCGGTCCCTAGGGGACGTCGACCCCACCAATGATTATATTGATGATGTGCTGAGGTTCATCTTGCTCGGTCTGCTTATTGGAGTCTCTAATCCTGAAGTGATTTTTGGCTTGATCGCTCAAGAACTCCCGGAGGTGTCCACTGTTGAACAATCGGGCTACTTCCTCTCTTAGTTACCAGCAATCTTCAGTTATGTGGCTGTGAGTGCCATGATATTTGCATATTAGGTTGGGGTCCCTTTAAGAAGGGTCGGACTATAGAGGTTGAGGCCACTTCGTGTCTTTAATGCCTCCAATGGCAGATATGATGGCAGCAACGTCGACAATGAATTTGTACTCCGATAACCTTGGTGCTTCCTTAGGCCCGACGGATCTGTCAAAACCTTTTGATTTCGGTCGCTTCTCCTTTCACTTCTCATAGGGTTTCATCCGGACCCATTACCTCTTTGATCTCTTTTGTATGGTTGATACCGGTCCCTATTCGATCTTGGTTCATGATCAATATCTCTTTTAGATTTGTCACCAGCTTTGACGAGGTAAATGGACCTGGAAGGGCTCTAAATTGATCATCTTCGACCCTGATTTTTGATTGGTACTAGTTATGAACGTCAGCCCAATTTACCGCTGGATACACTATCAGATTTTTCTTCAACTACTGTGAAGCTAATGAGCTTCGAGTATTGAGTCCATGGGTGAATGCTTGAACGGCCCAATCGTCCTCGACCGGAGGCATGTCCATTCGTTTCATTTGAAACTGGGCACGAATTCCCTTACGTCTCATTAGGTTTGACTCCTTGGTCTCGACCTTGATTACCCCGGCGTGTGCTTTCACGAAGGAGTCTGCAAGCATAGCAAACAAGTCAATAGAATTAGGGGGTAAGTTGTAATACCATATCATAGCTCCATTTGATAAAATTTCCTCGAACTTTATTAGCAGGACGAACTCGATCTCATCATCCTCCAAGTCGTTCCCTTTGATGGCGCACATGTAGGAGGTCACATGCCCATTGGGTCAGTTGTTCCGTTGTACTTAGGAATCTCGGGCATACGAAACTTCTTTGGGATTGGCTTTGGAGCTGCGCTTGGAGGAAAGGGTTTTTGAACAAACTTCTTGGAATACAGGCCCTTCAATATCGGTGGTGCTCTTGGGATTCGGTCGACCCTGAAATTGTAGGTTTCTACCTTTTTCTCATTGGCTTCGATTTTCTTTTCTCCCAATTCTACCCATTTTGTCAGTTGCTCAAGCATCTTTATGATCTCAGGGTTGGTCCCAAGTTCAGCTTTACTCGGCCTTTCTACGATCGGTTCGTTTTTGTGAGCATTATCCCGTGATAGTTCGGGCTCGGCTCTGCTGGGGTCGCGACTCTGGTTCTACAACTGGGCTGTCACTACTTGTTGGGCCTGCAATATTTCGAAGATTACTCACAAGCTGATTCCATCACCTTCAATGTCGTGTGTATTTTGGGCTACCGAACGGACTCCCCCCCGCGGATGATGTTCTCAAGATCGGTAGACAAATTTGCATTGATGGCCACATGTGAGTTATTGTCGATCGGGTTCGCGGTCGGAACTCTGTTAGGGTCGACAAGGGGCACCTCGTTACTAAGTGCATATTTTTGTCCTCGTCATGGTGGCCAGAATCAGCATCCACGTTCAGAGGAGCAGATTGGGAGTTCGACATTTTAAACTTTGACCTGAAATTAAAAACATGTAAAAGAATAAGTGTTAAATATGGTGTGTTATGGAGACTTGTATTAAATTGTCACTATTATCCTTAGCTCCACGGTGGGCGCAAAACTGCTTACCCTAAAAAATGGATAACAATTAAATTTGTAAATGATTTTAATGATACATGGATTAATTCAATACAAACGGTAAGTATCGCTAGATTGAACAGATAAAAGATGTAATAAATTGTCAAACACTCGAAAACAAGGGGGAGGGGATAATTCTGGACTCAACGATAGCCTCAATGAGATATCTGTCCTCGATCACAGACTTATAGTAATGAAACACTGATCAACAAGTGTAAGAACTTTGAATAACAGAAAAATAATAGTATATTGCCTTGGTATGCGTGTTACAATGTGTTCAATGAACAATCAGACCCCCTTTATATAAAAGGAGAATTCTACTCTAGGTACAATTTCATAAAAGGTAAAAAGTCTTCCGTTTAACTAATCACTGAATTTCCACCGGCATGAGCCGAGATCCACGCCGTGATACCCGGCTGGTCACGGATATCACGGCTCTCTGTTAATCATGCTCGGTTGCCCAATAATGCTCTCTGAAGTCTTTTAGGATTTGGACCGATCCCAGGGTCATGACCCCAATATTCTCGAAGGCGAGCATCGTGCCCCCGGCCCGGACCCTATCTCGGTGAGTCCCTTGCCTCGAATCCGGCTTCTTATCATCACGTCTCTTGCTTGATTTACCTTATCAGAGACGGGGGCGTCTCATAGGCCCGGTTTCCCGTATACAAAAGAAAGGAGTGTATTCAAAGCTAAATAATACTCCTATTGTATAGGTATTTGAGTACTTTAATCCAAATTTTTTGAGTGAATATAGTAACAAATTTAGCTACTTCTTAGGGAGAACGAAAAGAAAAACACAAAAAGACACGGTCATGCAATATCTAATTCGTTGATAACCTTTTCTAGTATTTTCTTCCTTTTATAGATACTCCATGTGTCACTGAGATCTAATAATGCTAAAATAAGTTCTTGAAATGTGAAAGCGCAGACTACATGTGAACGCATAAGGACTCTATAACAGAGAGTTGTAATAAAAGTACTTGATTGTTCATATGGTATCGTAATTGGTATAGAGATGCACATTCAATGACTGACTATCGTACAATTTTTAATTTCAGCTTGTTTAGTGAGAGCTCCTTATCAATTAATAATTTATTGAGGTACTCGTAATACGGAACGAGCGGACTTCATCTTATTTTCTTTTTCTTTTTTTAGGGGGCCTTTCTTTCTTTTGTCCCTTTCGATTCCTCTAGACCAAAATAACGACAAATATAGAAGTTATCCATGTTGGAAATTATTAACATTGTCTTAAATATTAAATTTAAAAACGAGTTAAGCAATTATAGTTGGTAGACACGATTAATGCCTCTTGTCTATTTAGTTTCATATTGGGCATGAATCACTTAATATTTTGATATAAATTAACTTAAAGTCGTTTTACGTTTCTTCAAGAGGTCACGAATAAATTAAGGAAGAGGAGTGAAAGGGTTAGTAGGCGTTTGTACATAAGAATGGTAAAATTCCGGAAAAAAAATGAAAAAAATTCAAATAAAAATAATATTTGAAAATTAAAATTGTGTTTGGATATGAATATAATTTTGGGTTGTTTTTTATTTTTTATCAATGATCTAAGTGAAAATCTTGAAAAACGGCTTTTTATATTTTTTAAATTTTTAAAAAATTCGAAAATTCACCTTCAAATAAAAATTTAAAATTTTATGGCCAAATAGTAATTTCGAAAAAAACAATTTCATGACCAAACGGTCTCTTAATTTCTCGGGGATACAGTGATGAAAAGCAAAACAATAATTCAGGTAAATAACAAAGAAAATAAAGAAATCGATTAACACGTCTTCACTGAAAGTTTAGTTGGTGTGGAAAGCTTATCACTAGAGTCAAGACAGTCTCTTTATAGGGTCTATGCCTTGACCTTGAAGCCCAGATATAATTGTTTGTTTTGTTTTGGGAGGGGGGGGGGTTCCATTGTTTATTCTAAATAGAAATAAATTCTCGTTTGGTTTAGTTGAGGGATAAATTAATCAGAAACACGGCTTAAGTTGTCTGGTCGAATTGCATATATATAAGAGCGGAAATGGTTGCAGCGCAAGTTAATTAGTCAGATAGAGTTTAAGAAAAAGAAATCAAATTAAGAAAACCAAGAGAGAACATATAAATTAGGTACTCCAAAGAAAATGGTGAGAACTCCTTCTGTTGACAAAAATGGAATAAAGAGAGGTGCATGGAGTGAAGAAGAAGACAACAAACTAAAAGCTTTTGTTGAAAGATTCGGTCATCCGAATTGGAGGCAATTGCCTAAACATGCTGGTTAGTTTATACTACTATATATATGTAGCCCCAAAATCCATCTCATTGATGTGATTCTTTTTCGCTTTTAGGAAGAGAAAGTTCTTATTTCTTTTTGAATTTCTTTTTACAGGTTTAATGAGATGTGGAAAGAGCTGCAGACTGAGATGGATGAATTACTTGAGGCCTGGTTTGAAGAAAGGGAATTATAGCCTTGAAGAAGAGGAACTCATTATTAAACTACACAAGGAACATGGAAACAGGTAAACATTAAATTGATCCCGTTTGTCCATGGATATTTTTTCCTTTTTCCGAATTTATCTGTTTGTCCATAAAATTTTGCAAATATTTTAAAAAAATTCGAAAATAAGTTTTTCAAAGATACCTACTTATTTAGATATGTTTTTAATTTATTCAAATAATGCAGATGGTCAGTCATTGCTGCAAGATTACCCGGAAGATCCGACAACGATGTCAAAAACCAGTGGCATGCTCATCTCAAGAAACGTGCCAAAACAAATACTAATAACAATTCACCAATTATGGAGCAATTTTCTGAGTCTTCGCAGTCTGGATCTCAAAGTGAGCAATATTCTCATAAAGTATCAGAACAGGAAGCTGGCTGTGATACGGCTAGTGTAAATGCCGTTGATACTTCAGTAGAGGTTTCATCAACTGATTTATATTCGAGTTTTTCCCTTTTAAATGGAATGGATTGGATTGAAGAAGATCATATCAGGTCAATGGAACAACTTCCAGCAGATTTCTTTAACTTTTGTTGGACAAATCCCATCGACAATTTTCAGACAGAACCCTTTGACAATTTTCAGACGGAACCCTTAGACAATTTCTGGAGACAACCATTCTTTTAATTCTTATATAATACCTCAACCTACAACAACTTTATAATACATTCTGCAAGTTTTTGAAAGAACGACGACGACGAGAGAATGTGCTGATCAATGGCATATCAGAGCTTTTAAATTTTAATTTTGTACGATAATATATATTTACTGTTTACCTCATAATGAGTACAATATATAATGAGTGTTTACCCAATACAAAGCTTGTCACTTGTTATAGTCGAAATGTTTTACTCTTTCCGTTCAAATATATGAAAATATTTGACTGGACACAAAATTTTAAAAAAATACTTTTAAAATTTGTGGTCCTAAACTAATTAAAAAGTGATCCAGAGTATTTGTGTGGTTATAACAATTTTTCATTAAAGGTAGAGTTAGAAGTTTATACTCCCTTTGTTTCAATTTATGTGAACTTGTTTGATTGGCGGAGTTTAAAAAAAAAATAAAGACTTTTGGATTTTGTGGTCCTAAACAAGTTAAAAAAGGGCCCAGATTATTTGCGTAGTTATAAAAAATTCTCATTAAAGGTAGAATTGTAAGTTTAAGCTAAATTGCTTCCAAATTTAGAAAGGAGTCACTCTTTTTGGAACGGAGCAAAAAGGAAATAGGTTCACATAAATGAGAACGGAGGGAGTACTAAATTATTTTCAAATTTAAAAAGGGATCATTCTTTTATGAACACACCAAAAAGGAAACTCGAACGAACGGAATGAGTATTAGATAAATGATCCTTCACCCACGTGCTAAAAAAAACTTTATTTTTTGTTTCCCACCAAAAAGATATTTTATTAAGTAAATGAAATGCCTACTAGCATTATATAATTACATATTTTGCCCTCGTCATTGACCTCTTTTGGATCTGCGTTTTGGGTTAAAAGGGAAAATTTTATTTTGTGTATGATGCAATTGACATTAGTTATATAAGATAACTTTTTTATCTTACAGTTTTGTGGACCCAGATTTTTGTGGACCCAAAAGTGTAAGATTGGGATCCACAATTTGTGAGATAAAAATGAGCCTCATACAACTAGTGTAGATTACACGAGACACAAAATAAAACTTCTCGGTTAAAACTGTCTGTAACACGACGATATACTATGACGTAATTCTCATGCTGATTGATGACCTCATCACACTGGGTATCTAAAACAAACTACAGTAGTAAAAGTATTTATTTAATCATTAAAATTATTCAAAATAATGTCATCGATCTGAGTATGTTTTTTTCTTTCTTGGACTATTATTGACACTCAATTATTTGGTTCAATAATGGAATCCCAACCATGGATCTTCTAAAAGCTCCATGCATATGTGCGTCGTACGAAACGCATCCAAAATTATTAAGAGGAAAATTGGCAAAAAGAATAGAGATTTTTATACAAATATTTGTGTTTAAGCTATTGTATACGGTAAAAACGGAGGGTCCAATTTTTCATTGTTATAATGTCTCGAAGGCTCGAAATCACAGTCGAGTCTCACCCCTGGAGGGCCATTGATGCTCGACCTCGGGGCAGTATGGGATCGACGGTTATGGGAAGAAAATGGGGAATTCCCAAGGCGTGAAGCTGGAACCGACAATATCTGTCAGGCTAGTCTGAGCTCGTATCTTGGCATTAGTTAAATGTCTCATCTCCATATCTTTGTAATAAATGCATTTGTACTATGTTGGGATTCTCCCTCTTATATAAAGGGGTCCTTATCATTCTGTAAACATCTGTTGCTCCATACTAAATATACAAGAACATTCTCTCTGTTCTCTAACATATTCTCTTGATCTTGTTACTTTATTTATTGCCCATATTTATTGTGATCCTATTCATTGTTCACATTTATTGCTTGTTATCGACTATAAAGAGTCACCCTTGATCTCTTTATAACTGTTATCCGCCACCGACTGCCTTCGATAGCTCCCAATCGAGCTTCAGAATCGACCTCGAGACCCTCGGATAGGCAAGCTCGAGGCCCTGATAGACATTCTATTCGGTTTGATTAACACCTCGTTCTTAAGTTCTTATTTTGTTTCTAAGTCTTTCACATAGCATCAATTGCCTAACAACTAGCATAAAAATAGATCACATATTTTTAGAACCACTAAATCAAATTTAATTGTTATTACCATTTTCACGGTAAACAGTTTGGCGCCCACCGTGGGGCTAAAAATAATAGTGATTATTTTCTTGCTGGTTTAACTACATAAAGCAAGTTATCTTTCACGCTTTTTCTTGTCCAAGATCTTTGATTTCAGGTAAAAATGTCCGACTCAATGAACAACAATCTTGAGAACCACAGAGAAATTGGCGTAGACGTTCCAGGTGCTGGTGTACCACCGCAAAACCCGGAAGAACGCACCAGAACCGGTCCCCATGGATGCGGTCTCACGCGATGCTCAACACGTCTATGTAAGCTCCCATATTGACATGAGCATACACCAAGGAGACCAACAAGAAGCCCGAAAAACCCCGGCTAGGGAAGAACGGGAGGTGAGCCTTCACGTTATTTTTGAAATGTTGCAGACACAAACAACTAGTGATTGCTCAACTGCAAAGTCACCAGAAAACTCCCAACACGGTAGCTCCGGGGACGGTTCCCCTGGCTGAGCAGATACTGGGGAGGTCAAGCAACAACGGGTCGGTAGCCGACCCCACCATCGTAAAGATGCTCGAGGATCTCACAAAGAGGATCGAATCGGGTGAGAAGAATATAGAAGCCAATGACAAAAAGGTCGAGACCTACAACTCCAGGATCGACCAAATTCCGGGTGAACCCCCGATCCTGAAATATGTGGATTCAAAGAAGTTCATACAAAGGCCGTTCCCGGAGGAAGCTGCTCCAAAACCCATTCCAAAGAAGTTCAGGATGCCAGACCTTCCATAATACAACGGGACCTCAAACCCCAATGAGCACGTTACTGCTTTCACTTGCGCAGTGAAGGGCAACGACAGAAAGGACGACGATATCGAGTCCGTCTTATTAAAGAAGTTCGGGGAAACACTCTCGAAAGGGGCCATGATGCGGTATCACAACCTAGCTCCTAACTCCATAGACTCATTTGCTATACTGGCAGATTCTTTCGTAAAGGCACATGCTAGTGCCATCAAAGTAGCAGCCAGGAAATCTGACATCTTCAAGATTAAACAGAGGGAGAATGAGATGTTGCGAGAGTTTGTATCTCGCTTTCAAATGGAACGAATGGAACTACTACCAGTCTCCGACGACTGGGCAGTGCAAGCCTTCACTCAAGGTCATGAACGAAGCTCGACGGCTTCAAAACAACTGACACAGAACCTAGTCGAATACCCCTGCCGTGACCTAGTCGGACGTTCACAATCGATATCAATCAAAAATCAGGGTCGGGGATGACCAATTGGGAGCCCCCTCGGGCCCGGTATACCCAAGCAGGCTTTTAGTGAAGGAGCCAAAGCCAAACAAAGAAAGGTACCAACCGTACACGGATGACAGGAGAAATGCCCCGAGGCGTAACATACCCCACAATGACCGAAGGATGGACCGAGGTCAAAATCCTCAGGGATTCGTCAACAGAGCCGGATTCGACAGGAACACGGGGCCAGCAGAGGCACCTCAGTTGTAAGAGTATAACTTTAATGTAGATTTATCAAACATCGTGTTCGCCATCAGTAAAATCATAGACGCCAGATGGCCCAGGCCTATGCAACAGATCCTTCACAAAGAAATGATAACTTAGTTTTTGAATTTGACAACATACACGGTCACAAGACCGAGGATTGTCACCAGCTCCGAGAGAAAGTAGCCAGACTACTCAATAAAGGTCACCTCTGAGAATTCCTCAGCGATCGGGCCAAAATCCGGTTTTGGGAAAGAGAAGTGGCCAAGAAGAATGAAGGAAATGAGCCACAACATGTCATCCACATGATATTGGGAGGCATCGATACCCTACAAAAGCCCATGATGAGAAGAACAAAAATATCCATTCATAGAGAAAAGCGAACTCGGGATTACATACCCGAGGACGCCCTCACATTCAGCGACGAGGACATCGAGACCTTGTCTCTGCCCCACAATGACACACTGGTAATCTCTTTTCTTGTAAATACATTTCAGATTAAATGTGTACTTGTGGATCCAGGTAGCTCGACCAACATTATCATGTCAAGGGTGGTAGAGCAGCTCGGACTGCTTGACCAAATCGTACCCGCCTCTCGAGTCCTCAACGGATTCAACATGGCGAGCGAAACAACAAAAGGCGAAATCACCCTTCTAGTCAATATGGCCAGCACAATCAAAAATGTCAAATTCCATGTCATCGAGGGAGACATGAGGTACAACGCCTTGCTCGGAAGGCCATGGATACACTGCATGAGAGTAGTACCTTCCACCCTTCATCAGATCATGAAATTCCCCACAAAAGATGGGATTAAGACCGTCTACGGGGAACAACATGCGGCAAAAGAAATGTTTGCGGTACACGACGTGGCCCCGACACTGGCACCTCCATCCTCGAGGGAATCGAAGGATAAGCAAACAGTAAAATAGCAATAACGAACTACACTCCCGGCTATCCTGACAAAACAAGGTAGGGGACCGTACCGCGTCCTTGTCACAAGCAACTAAAGCATATCAAGGCTCGAAACATCGCCGGCACATCATACGCTAAGGTGTGACCATTTCCTTCCTTTTTCAATTATATTCTACACTGACCCGAGTGCAGGTACCCGATCGAAACGACCAAAGCACTCTCCAACTCGAAGGCCTTAGGTTTCAAAAGCATGCGTTGCACTCTTTTACTTAGACCGAGTTTTTATCCCGAATAGGGTTTTAACGGCAAGGTTTTTAACGACGCAACAACCATATGCTACCTAAGGAAGACTCAACAAGTATTCAAGGCTTCCTTTTGCAATCAACCTCGTATAGTGGGAGGCATCCCCCCAGGAGGTCACCTCCACGGAGAAAGCTAAGACGCATCAAGCGGGGTCTTGATAGGAAGACATTGTACCGGGCCAAACGGTCAAACGAACCATGTATGTATAGAACAACTGAGCCGTCAAACAGCAAATATATGTATACTTACACCAAGTAGTCAAAGAATACTTTACAAAATCATTTTGCGTGTCAAGAAAGCTCGAGATAGAGTCGAAAGACGACCCGAAC